GTTCAAATACTACTAGTACCTCTCCACCTTGTCTTCTCATAAATCATCATTCGAGTCCCAACCGAGCCAACGTAAGAAATTAAGAATGCCACTCCGGGCCCCATACCAATTTGCGTGCCATCATCAAAAGGTCTCGTGCGATCATGTGCTTTACCAGATCGAGTCTAGCACAGATGATCTCCCGATAAAATCATCCCTACTCATTTTTGGCTTCCCCGCAAATGGATCGATATTTCACATTTCATTGTTCCACTTTCTTTTCCGTGAACACATCGGAATTACGGGAGAAGCTGGGAGAAGGTCGAGAGAAGGCAGAGAAGGGGCCATGTTAAGACAAAGTCTCGCAAGATCACTCACCATATCTAACGGGAAAACGGCGTCAAGGTATCTCTAATTATCAGAGACATTTCATCAAGACCCCTTTCTTTGGGAAAAACCACTCGAGACCCGAGAGTCGAGAGTCAAAGAAAGGCTTGAGGCGGGCTACATGACATGTACAAGCTGATGCAGATGGAATATTGCTAATAATTTCTTCCAGGATCCGTCGGATATCAAATCTTCAAAAGAGAACCATACATAGATTAATCATTTATTTTCCAATAATTTCATGTCCGTGTCATCCTTACAAATTATCCAATACCCACCTACTTCTTACAGTAGTTGATCCACGAAAGTACATCCATCGTATTGGAATTGGAATCTTTGATCTTTTCAAGATGCTTTAAGCCATTCGCAGCGGCTTGACCTCGGGAATCGGGTCACACAACTTTAATTTTCATCGTCTTCCAAGTTCCATCCATTACTGCTCAGTGCCTTCCTCATTAGCTAATAAACCGCTTGGATATCACAACAACTGCCGTGTGGAAACACCTTGCGGATCCCACTTCTGCTTTAATGATTTCAATCTCTTTAAACTTTCCTCTGCTCGATATTATCGCTGAATAGGATCTGTGCGATTGCAATTTGCACCATCAACCCAGTCTTCCTTTGCATGTCCATCTCTCATAGCTGTAATCACCTTGTTCTCGAAGTCAAGAACGATGTCGTGGTTTTCGGCTCCATGGTACCAGAGAAATGGTTGCTAAATACCCAAAAAAAAGACAAGATCCAAACTTGTGTCATAACATGTATGAGGATATCTCTTACAGCCATAAATGAACGTGCTCATGGCCACATGCCTAATTGGCTGGTGGTGATTTTGATATTCCAGTATGCCACTCGAACACATGACCAGCAGCACCAGCGTCGGGGCGGGTGACCAACAACTCTTTGTAAATTTCCATAACTTTCATGAAATCTTGGCTACTGAATCCAGGAAATTCTACCAAGCTGAAATCTTTGAAATCTCCCTTTCCACAGGCGAAGTCCAAGTGGTCGCTCAAATTAGGGTAGTAAGGGTCGATGCTGATGGCAAAATCGGATTGAGATCTGTAAGAGGTTGAAATGCAAGAGCTTCTTCCGTTGGATCACCGCTAAATTCGAGACTGTTATTGAAGATTATAGTAGGCGTGTACATATGCACATTTCGCCGGTGTTCTTTTACACACACAGCCAGTGCACATGCTTATCAAGGGCGGTAGAAGATCCTGGTCGGATGAAGACTCGCATGAAATGGGGTGCAACAGCGATCATTGGCTGAAATACCAGGTTGTTATCATTACCATTTTGTCCCCAGCGGCGTTATACTTCGTGGTGACTATTAATCGTTCCATTACCCTGCACACTTCCTCTGTACTATTTGAAAAATACAAAGATTGTCGATCCAGTGTGCCCCTGACGGTGACCCAAAGATTGACAGTGGATATGTCTTCAGAGTCAACTCTACCATGACGCCAAATATCTGGCCTGCTCCTTTGATCGCACATACGAGTTCGAGCCCAACATTTGTACTTGTGTGTGTATAAGAGTATCATCGGTTGCCGCGAGTATTTGATCACACCCGGAATCCATCACACCAGTCCAAATACTAATACCACCTCCGAGGCAGAAAGAAATAATGCCAACGGTGTTGCCATTACCGCTTAATAGGATCAGGTGATAATGGCATGATATGAGATCACTGTCGAGTGGTAAATAAAACCGCTCTCTTAAGCGGCGGTTCTTTTGGGCATGATGATTCTAGCTTAGAGACCGATGCTGTGGCTTTTGCATCGACGGTTGGGGATCTTTAGCGAAGCACTGATGGGCTGGCGCTCAACAGCACGTAAGTTTGTCCTGTTATCTGGTACCATTGTAGAAGGAGAATGGCTGGTGAATTTAGGTATATTAATTTTGCATTCAATGATCCTGTTGAAATCGTTTATGGGTCAGGTACTGAATAATTGCTGACTCGGAAGAAAGTTTATGATCCATTTAGTCGATTTAGTCAATTTCTTCCGCCATAGAATTTACTATAGTTATCTGAGCGTTATTCTAGCTATACATTTTCTTGGAAGGTCACAAGATGAAGGTATCTAGTTCGCTCGCTTCAATACTTAATCGCCAACATTGGTGACGTAAAGGAGTTGGATTATTGTGTACCACCAGCCATTTCACCGCCATTCCCTCCAATTCGTCTATATTTAAGCCTATCTGTATGCGTATGTGAGTTGGGTAGTATAAACTAGGCCCCTGAACCTCAGTTGCTGCTTGATTCTGTACGGCCATGCAAGTGATCCCATTCAGGTCCAATAATATGAGATTCTGAGACCATTCAACAAGTACAATGTATAGATGTGTTGCATTTGCATTGGAAAATTCACTAGTATGAGGTGGCAGGCTGTGTTTGTGCGCCGGCAAAAAGCAGGCCCATAGTAACAGTTGCAACCAACATTATATGTTGTTGCATTTTGGATAGCTTACAGCCTAAAGTTTGAGATGTCATACCAAGCTAGCTTCGACATTTTAAGATTACATACTCCAATTACTCGCCGATTGTTTTCACGCAATATTATTCTCCTCAAGTATGAAGACGTTGATTCAGAGCTCAAACGGTGGAAATGAACCACTCAGTGTCCTTGTAATCGGAGGGTGCGGCTTTGTGGGTCACCACCTTGTGTGCCATTTTGTTTCGAATTCCAAGTTCTCTCCTATAGCTGTTGCCAGCCGTTCTGCCAAACAAAGCAAAAATCAAGTAAATGGAGCGACTTACCACAATGTTGATCTTACAGATGCCTCTTCGATAGAGAAATTGATCGACAATCTCAAACCTGCAGTCATTATCCACGTCGCATCTCCATCCCCTGTCACGGGGACAGCGAGTGATTATAACAGAGTAGCGATCCAGGGCACGAAAGATCTTCTCCGCATTGCGAAAAAGTCCAGGGATGTACAAGTGCTTGTTTACACTTCTTCTTCACTTCTTTGCAGCGGTCCAGAACACGTAAATATTACCGAAGAATCTCCTATCGCCGACAGCGACCCCAAAGCGCCTGCATATGCAAAAACTAAAGCACAGGCAGAAAAACTAATCTTGAGTGCAAACAACCCATTGCCGCTAGACGGCTCTAAAAACGAAATCTTCGCATGGGAAGGTCATCTTTGCACAGGCGCTCTGCGATTCCCAATTATCTACGGAACGCATGACCCGATATGTATACCCGGCGCACTGAACGCCCTGGAAAAGCGCAGAACAAACGTGGTTCTGGGCGATGCCAACAATCTTTGGAGTTTCTGCAGTGTCCAAAACGTAGCATCTTCACACGCTCTACTCGCGCAAGCTCTCCTTGATACACGCCAGAGAAAGTCCTCCAATCTTACATCTGCAGATGGAGAAGCATTCCATATCCACGACGGCGAAGCACGGAAGTTCTGGGGTTTCGCAAGGATGATTTGGCAATTTGCGGGCTACACATCGCACGATGAGCGGATTTACCATTTGCCAGCGTGGTTTGTCTTGGCTCTTTCGTCGTTCTTGGAATTTCTGTTTTGGATCTTTACATGTGGGAGGAAACGACCGTATCAGTTGGGGAAACAGCAGGTGGAGTATGCGCTGTTTGAACATACGTGCTGTATTGATAAAGCGAGGAAGGTGTTGGGGTATGAGCCGATTCAAGATTTTGAGGAGGGACTTAGGAAGGCGGTGGCTTGGTCATTAGAGTATGATGGGTGGAGAAAGAGACTTAGGGGGGTAGTAAATGGAGGATGATGTTTTTACATCGGAATTTTAGCTTCTGTACATGGGGCGGTCTTTTATGGACGCAAAAACAGGTTCATTGGTTTAACTAAAGATTTGTCTTCCTCGCTAGCGGAGCTACTCTCAAAACAATTATAGCATCCAAAATCGGAGTCTTTTGCTGATCGAACAGACATCGAACCCTCAATTTCTGCATATCACAATCGTGCAGGGGGGATATTTGGCAAAATTAGCTTCTGCAATATAATTGATTGAGATTTCCCATACACTAGACACCAATCGACTAAGAGAAATATCATTTTACCATGCTTGCTTCTAAATCAGACCCATGCAGCGTGATGAGGCACATGTCCCAGGGTCCAATAGCTAGGCTAAAGCAACAAGATACCAACAGCCAACAATTGGTCGGCAGATTGATTTTAGTAACTACTAATGGAATTCGTAGACCGTGTAGCGATATCAAGTGAATCATAAATTAGATGCCGTACTTTTTATATGCCAAAAATTTGTATATCGACATCTTCCAACTTCTCCACGCCCTACGAGTTGAAAGTACCAAATTTGATCAACTACCTAACTCCTAACAGAAACTTTCAAAACCAAAGAGCATGGCAACTGTAGAGATTTATTTACTCTTCGCCATCATAGGAGTATCTTTCACTCTTCTAACTCGAGCTTTCTGCAGCGGCTCTAGTAATAACTCTCGAGAACCCCCAGAAATCAAACCAACCATTCCATACATCGGGCATGCCCTCGGTCTCTTCTGGTACAGAAGTGCATACTATACTAAAATGTGGTAGGTCCTACTCATTACCACAGGGAGCAAAACGTCCCGCAAAGCAGTACATGAGTGCTGTCCAGCGCCCCATTGGATGCATAGCCAAAGATGGAAAGGACCAATTATTTCGATCCCTATGTTTGGCGGAAAAGTGCACATCGTCGGCTCTCCGGGACTGATAAACTCTCTTCAGAGACAGGGCAAGACGGCTTCTTCTGGTATTTAGAGGCCCGGTTTACAGCTGAGCTCGGGGGGCTGAGCGGAGAGGGAACGAAGAAACTGGTTGCCAATTTAGAGCCAGCGTCCGAGAAACCTAGTCTCTTGGTAGAGGGATTGAAAGCCACACAGCAGGCAATCTCTCCTCTTGGTGGAGTCGATGACATGATCCGTGTCGCGGCAGAAAAATATCCAGGCCCGTCTTGATAATTTGGCAAATGGAGCAGGTAATATTAACCTAAATACTGATCTTTGGGCATGGGTTCAGCATGAAATAACGGTTGCCACAACGGAAAGCGTCTACGGTCCCGAAAATCCATATCGAGATTCAAAGGTGGAAACTGGGTTCTGGTATGTCGCACTTGAATAGCTCATATTTACCAGACCAAGCTAAGCATGATTCAGGGACTTTGCCGATGACAATGTCACGCTCCTGTTGACAAAGTTTCTCCCAAATTTTGTTGCCTCCAAAGCCATCAAAGGTCGAGCCATAGTGGTAGGGGCAATGAGTCGTTACTTTACTAATGGCGCCCAAAAGAATGGTTCATCGCTGGTCAAAGCAAGATATTTAAGTCTATCGACTGAGATGAGCCATGACGATCTTGCCAAGTTCGAATGTGTCAATGGCATTGCAATAATGACCAATACGGTTCCTACAGCTTTCTGGACAGTCTTTCAAATATTTTCTGACCCCGAGCTTCTTGAGGAAGTTCGGGAGCAAGTGCGAGAAATAACAACCACCACGCAATCGCTGGAGACGGGTATTTTGGAGAGCAAGATCAACCTTCGCAGGCTAAAAGATGCACCAATACTCTTCTCCGCTCAACAAGAAACATTACGATTCCGAGCTACTGGCACACAACCGCGTATGGTCATGGAAGATATGATAGTTGGAGATAACGAGTATCTCCTTAGGAAGGACTCAATGGTGATCATAGCCAATAGAGCATTACACTATGACAAGAAGACCTGGGGAGAGACCGCCGATTCATTTCGCGCGAATCGTTTTTGCGGCAAGGTTCCGGGACATGCTTTCCGAGGCTTCGGCGGAGGTTTAAACTTGTGTCCCGGGCGAGGTTTCGCTATGGTAGAGGTGGCAGCGCTCATGGCAATGCTAGCAATGAGGTTCGACTTAGTGCCAGTAGGGGGAAGCTGGTCTGAACCTGGCCAGGAACTCAACAACATGTCCCTTCGGGTTGCTCCACCTAGAAGGAAAGTGATGGTCAGTATAGTACCAAGAGAGGTATCAGGTAAACAAAAATGGTCTCTTGAGTAACTTTGTACATCTGACTCGCACGAATGGCCACGTTGTTTTATCAATCGATGTGGGCCAATGTTTGTTGCCATGAAGGCCTAATAACCCTGGAGCAGCGGAGCTTGTGACTGGAAATGATATACAGCCGACGAATCACTAGATTGCAACAATATCAATTATTCTCAAGAATATTAATGTGCAGTTACTCGAATTTTTTTTGGAACATCCACACTTGATTCTTGAACTAGATTTGAAAGCTGATATCTAGTTTTTCACATCAAACGGAAGCATCAATGCTTGACGATTCAAATCAAACCCAAACACTGAAAATTTAGGAACTCAAAATACATGGTAAGAGGCATGAGTTCTAAAGTTCAACAGCATCATCTCAGCCACCCTTTTCGCTTTCGCTTACATATATTACTGCTCGTCAACAACAGTCGAAACACAGTCAGTCACCCATTTTAAATTGGCAAATTCATCTTGAATGTACCGGTTGCGTACTTAGTATCTCAATTTCTGCATCTGCCAGTTTCATTATTTGGATACTAAGGCACCGAAGGATTGGGAAAGCGCACGCACTCGATAACAGACGGGGAGAATCGGACGAAAAGAAGAAATAATTCGAAAATCCATGAAACTAAGAGTCTATATCACCGGTGTATTTAGATCACTAAACAATCCATCATATCCGAGATTGAAGGTGCTACTTACTCGCTGCATCCGTTTCTGCATAGGGATCAAGCTTATAATGAAAATGCATTGACAACGATGGAATGTGAGAGACTTCCCAAATTGAACCAGACCGCACAATGCAGAACTCTACTCCGAAAAATCTCAAGCAATACCTAAGTAGAATGCACTAGCTTATGTGAAACAAAACACCACTTCAAAGCACCACCGTAAAATGAATACTTATTCACCATCCCTCCATCCCTTACCATTCGTTCTCCGGTACCCATGATTCACCACTCACTACAACCACCCTCGCCTGATCAATCTAATCTTCAATCCCGCCAGTTCCCTCGTCAAATGGTGGTATTGACAGAATCGACAATTTAGCTTAACGGTTAGACACAACAACTCGAAGTGCGCGCGGTATCTTTGTAGGGAGCATTCGATCCCTTCGGAGCCATTGATACCGCGAAATAGGTCAACAGAGATGTAGCGCGCCTGGTGCATCAGGCGCTTGAACTCTTTTGCTATTTTAATTACTTCAATAGTGGGGCTATCCTGAGAGAGGAAGTTTAAGTTCACTACCACCTGCGACGCCGCACTTATATGGAAGAGAGGTTTAAGAAACACAGCTTAGCAATGAAGTAATAATGTATAGGGTAAGAACCAATTGTATTTCATCGTCTTTCTGAAGGATATATACAGACTCTTAATATTCAAATGGAAGTTGATGGTCTTACCTAGCAACTTGTGACTATTGATAACTACCATTCAATCCGAATTCTTGAGTAGAACCTTGGAAGTGTATACTCATCCGACCCTGCACTCCTCACTCCGACGCCGTTGTATTATTTGCGGAGGAACAAAGACCTTCCCTTCCCTTCCTGATACCAATGCCCCCACGATAACTCCAAATTCACCGACAATACACATACTTCCACGATCCATCAATCAACCCCCGCCGCCTCAGGTGGCTGCGTGGTCATAGCCTTAAGTCTCGTTCTCCTCCTCGGTGGCGTCATCGGTGGCACTTTCTTTTGTGCAGCAATTGCTCTAACAGCCGGTGGAAGCGGTGGCAGCGCGCGTTTTTTCTTTGGAATTTCATCAGAGGGCGCCATCACAGGCGTATCGTGATCATGCGCAGCGTTTTCACTTTCTGCTTTGCGACTAGGTGTTTGAACACCAGGTTTTTCTGTAACGGCAGCTACATCTGAAACACTTATCGAGCTACCGGTATGTGACGGCGAGAGGCTTATACCGAGGAGTTTCCGCGCTACTTCTCCTTCGCTGATGTCGTCATCCCGGAGCCAGGGAACTTTGGCTACTCGCTCAACGAGTCGTATGGTGGTTTCGTCTGCTGGTTCCCAATGTGCATTACCCGATCCACCGAGGATGCTTAGAACTTTCACTACTTCGTGTTTCTTGTAATGTGGTGGTTGCTGCAGTTGTGTATGTGCAAGTAAGGGGTAAAGGACTCGAAGATATGTGTGACGGAGGGAGACAAACTCATTAGGGAGATCGAGAAGGTTACGGATTATGACATCCAGTAGGACGCGAAGATCATTAGTGTAAAAGTATTCGTAGGTAGATTTTGTAGTAAACAATAAATATAAAAGCTTGAGGATTAGAAGCTGTAGAGAGGTTTCAGTCTCGCGGTTTAGTAGAAGAATGATATTCTCTCCAAAGGTCATATATGATGACCCTTTATGGCTGAGAATTTTAACAACCCTATTCGTTAGAGTATGTGAAGGATCCGATGTTGATGTGGAAGCAACCATATACTGTTCATTCAAAACTAACTAGAGAAGGTGTTAGCAATTGGGATATCAGATCTAAATCTGCAGGAGAGACTTACTAAAACTCGAATAACAGGATAATGGTAAGGATCATTAACATCATCCGATAGCTCTTCAATTATCTCGAAGAGACATATGATGAACTCGTCATCTACCTGACCCAAGTCCTCGAAACTAAGCCTTTGCATCCTTGACATCTCATACAAAAGTTCCAGTAGTAGTCTATGTAAAGTTGGATCTTCCCTATTCCCTTTCTTAACCAACTCCAATAACCTTGGGAAACATCCCTCCCTATTCATCATTTCGAAAGTTGTCTCATTATTGCGCCCATCAAATAGTAGAAAGCTCGCTATCACATGTAGCGTAGCAGGTACGTCCTCCTGCATAAGGCTATAGACGATCTGGGTCCTCACATAGTCCTTATTCGCTGCGAATAGCTCGCTCTGCATCAATTTGTGTAAACATTTTGCAACTTCGAACTCTGATTGCAGGTATTCGTCTTTGAAGTTGGTAGTAAATTTTAAGTAGGATCGCAGCGCATTATCAATTAATTGATGCGACGCACATTTCGAAGAAACGATGTCATCGATCTCTAAAGGCAATCTTTAGTAAGTACTCCAAATAACACAGAACCCAAGGGGGCCATATATATGTACATACCATCCCAGAATTGTTGTTCATTATCTAAAGTGTATGCGACCTCGAATCCGTCCATATTGGTTTGTCCAACGAGAAGGAGAGTTTACAGAGAAAGGGTATTTAATGCTATCGTAAGAGCATCCCGAAGTTTTTATGTGCAAAAATATAATTATAATCGAGGAATAGAATGGGCCGTACAATTAAGACAACTTGTAAATCGAGTCCCAGTTTGTCGCGATCAACACAGACACTGAACACTGAACACTGAACACTGTTGCACTGTTCGTAGAAAGGAAGTGGTGAGTTTGCTAAGTTTGAAGTTTGTATTGACCCGCATTCAAGGTCAGTGCCATTATGCCGTAGGGATTTATACAGTAGCGCCCGAAATTTGACAAGGCTGATGACGAGGCTTCGTGATTGATTAATTTATAAGATTGTTTAACATTGCCATCACATTCACAATCATAAGTACAATGCAATCACAGAAACCGAATCTTTCATGAAGGATTTGTGAAATATTTTTCTCTTTTCTCTTTTCTCTATCTCCTTGAATGTCATCACACAAGCATCTTGAAGCCATGCTGTGTACATTCTACAGAGTATACTAAATGGTTGAATCACCGTCAACTTGCAAAGCCTAACCAACGCCTGGATTCAGAATCGAAGATATCTTCTCAACCGAAATTGAATCCCCCTTGACCGAACTTAAAATTAAACTGTTGTCCACCACCATGATGTCCACCGCCATGTTGGAAAGGGAATCCGCCGCCACCAAATGGGCTACCTTGTTGGAATGGATGTCCTCTCTGTTGCTCGTGGTCATTTGGATCATCTCCTTGGTCGAAGCGAGCCTTTAATTCAGGATCACTCAGTACTTCATATGCTTCATTAATGGCTGCCATCTTCTTTTCAGCCTCTTCCTTACTAATTCCTTGCTTATGGGCCTTATCTGGATGATTTATTCTAACTGATTTCCTGTATGCGGATTTGATCTGAAGCTCGTCCGCATCCTTAGGAACCCCTAGAACTTTGTAGTAATCTTTTGTTTTGCTTCGCTTCAATTCTACTTGAGCCTTTTGTAAGAGTCCTCCAATCTGCTGCGCTTCAGGGTGGTTTTCCTTTGCAGTGTTGAGGGTAGATATAGCAGCTTCGTAGTTCTCTGCTTCCATATGTTTCTGGGCTTTGTGAAGTAGTCCATAAAGGGAGTTTTCGTTGAGTGAAAGAGCTTCGTCACAGTAGGTAGTGGCCTTCTTAGTATTTTTGGTCTATTTCATGTTAATTAAAAAGAAAATAACTCTAGAGCTTTGAACATACCTCGTGATAAGCCTGGCAAACCATCTCGACAACTTGAGTGAGCAGGTGATTTGGCGCATGCTCAGGAATTAAGCCAGCCTCTCGGTGTTCCTTGACATCATCCTTTATCTCTTGAACCAACCCAACGTCCTCCCCGGCAGGAACAAGAAGTTTCACTCCGCTCGCATATTGATGTTTTTCGAAATATTTTCGAACCTGGGCTAAGGTTTTATCGATAGTCTTCTCTCTTCTGTATAGCTTTTTACAACTCTTCGAATCTGGATCTGAATGCAAGCACTTCCTCAATTGGTCCATGCCCTGCTCCATTTCTCCCAAGCTGTAAAAGTTGATTGTAGAAATCCGGAGATGGGGATCCGTAAGTCCTGGTTGCATTTGGAGAACGTGCTTGAGATCACTCATCCCTTCTTGGACTTCGCCGCGTTCAAATCGACAATGAGCTCTAGTTTTGCGAAGTGATACTACCTTGGAGGCAACCATTATTGCAGCCCCGGCTTGTGTTACACATTCTTCCCAGTTCTGAGTTTTCTCTGCATCCATTGCCAAACTAGCTGCGCCTTGAGCCTCTAGTAAATTCGCAAGTTCTTCTTCGGCTCCATG